GTAAACTCTTTCACAGTTGCTATCACAGGCTCAGGCTCGCACTCCTCAACAACAGCAACACACTCATCGACATGATCCACTCTGGAAGATTCTTCATTCGCGGAATGAATAACACCTACACTTCTTAACTCCGGGAGCTCACCAAGTTCCTCGTGTGAGACATCTTGCCAGGGCGACTCTTCCTCTTCGAAGCGTCCTGGACTAAGCATGCAGGTGTCGAATTGGTGGTCGTGGGCAGCAGTCGTAGTTGGGAATGGATTAGCGCTGGTTTTCGAGTCGCTGGCGCTGGAATTGTCGGTTGAGAAAATGAGACTTGGGACTGGCGGCACAGGGTCGACAGTCCAAAGCAAGGAGTCGTTGGACCAAACGGTGCTGAGCGGAGAGGGGCGAGGTGTGTTATATACCAGTACGCCAAATTCGTCGACGAGGGCCAGTGCTATTTCTGCTCTTGAGAGGAAGATTGAGTGTTCGTTCAGGATATGAGCCTTTGTCTCTGGTTTCTTCGCGAATTTGATCTTCTTGAGCATAGCAAGGGCGGTGTACTTCATCTTTCTGAACGATAACATGATTCGACAGTTATGAGAATATGGGAATGAGATGAAGATGGGGTGTGGGTGGAAATGGGTTATGGATGGTGGTGCTACGGAAGCAAGGTCTTGAGACAGTATGAGCTACTTAGAGACTCAATTTATACGGTTGACTCAGGCCGATCGTAAATTGGGTCCTAAAAGGGGTTGTGTATAGCATTCCTTCCGCTTCGAGTCTCACATTCCTTCCTTCTCAACCTTATAAGTCTTGCCGTTCGGAGAAATACGGATAGAGTCAGTGGTATTTGTGCTTTAATCTGTTTAAACCGATATTATAGAAGGATTAAATTGGCGACGGTTTAGCTCGGGGATCGCATTTCTCAGGGAGGGGTCCATAATTTAATAGCAGTAATACATTTTCTTGCAGCCGTAATTAAAGAAATTTATTGGGTTTAGTATCAATGCTGTGAGATTGCACGAGAGTTATTTGGTGTAGCTACCTACTAGCAAGGCCCGAACGCGCAAAATGATGCCTATGGGCTTCGAGTAGCCATGGACAACCTTCAATTATTTTCCAAGAAAAACTATCCTGCAGCAAGAAGAAATATTATCCATATATCTGCAGTTGATCTGCAGCTTACTTTATTTCTACATATTGGAAGAGTAAAGTGAAATATAATAATGAATTTGCTATTCTACTGACTCTGGGAAGGCTTAATGATACAGGTAGCAAAGTAACTAAAATGTACTACAACTACCTATAATTGTCTACAACGTCCTGAGCGCTTGAGTAAGCGTCAAGAACGCTCAGAGGGGTCGGCATACAAGGGCTGCTTTAATCCGGCAAATTTCCAACGCTACAGCTACTTAATGAACTTGAGTGCGCTTGCCAGGTCCGATCAGCGATGACTGGAAGCTGAGCGAGATTTAAAGCATCATTACCGTGAGAATTATGCATAGTTTTCAGAAACATCTCCTGACATCAGTCGTTCGTTACCCGTCTGCCCAATGCTCATCATGACCTGCATTCACGAACCCCTCCTCCTTTCGATGAAGGCTCAGATCAACCTCCAGCAGTGCAAATAAGATGGCTTATTTTATAAAAGTAGGATGCCAACGACAAATTGCGTAGTAGACGCGATTGAACGTACACGAACTTCCATAAAGTGGCACTGGCGTAAACGATAAGAGCACCGACGCCTTCATTCTGTTCGTCTAGTAACAGCCTCACTGTGATTGACTCTTCAGTCGACGTCTGCATTGTGCGCATATGACCTTGGTACATCAGAGACTCTAACTACATATATCATATTGGTGTTCACAGGCCATCCTCGAATCACCTAGGACTCCATGCACTTTATGAGTTGCAGCATCTTCTGTGATCTGGAAAAAGAAGCTAAAAAATCAATCGGCCAGCGAAAAGCGTTAGAGAAGGGCAGATGACACGATATTCTCTTCTTCTCGGCAATATCGAACTGCAGCAAGCGCTGGCGCGATAAGATCAACAAATGGAGGCTGTGAGCACAGAGCTCCTCATATCAACGTCTTTGGGTACCACAACGCTACACCTCGAAGACACACAGAGCTCTCATGCTCTCGTGAATTGTTGATACTCCGATTCCCTGCCTCGACGCGTTAATAACGTTCGCCGCCTGGCCAGGACGGGGATGATACGACGTCATCGTGCAACTCTCCATTATCTTCGTAGGGATTGAATTAACACTCCGTCACTTCCATGCAATATGTCTGTCCAGATGATATTACAATCTAAGGCCCGTCAGAACTGACTATACCTTATCTTACTTATGGTTCTATTTCAATCGTTTGACACATGCTTCCGCTCAAGCGCTTTCTTCAAGATTTAGGATTAGCTTTCTCAGGCTCTGGGATTTATATTTGTGTTGACCCCTCTATCTGTTCAGAGAAGAATGGAAGCTAACGCTAATGACTCGCACAAAATTAGTGATTTGTATTTTAGTTTAGATGATCATGATTGTGATACTGATAGTTCTTTCCATAGGTGAGACACTGGAGCCGATAGCAATAGGGCTAGATGTCTGGGATTGAGCTTGGGTGTAGATGCACAGGTAATGGCATTCAACGAGGCAAATGGCTATGCTTCGACGTTAATTTCGTGCTATTTTTGTCGCAAACCTGACTTCATCACATCAATAATTTAGGGTGGGATGACTGGCATACAATTGGAAGGCATACTTAAAGATGAGTCCCCCAGCTAATCCGTCCTTCCACTTCAAAACATGTCTGCGATGGATGGAGATGTCACTACGATAACAGATGAACAAATCAACTTTGCGTGAGCTTTTTATACCTACTTCACTGGATTAGGAACTTCCGTCACTGACTCTACATTTCACGTACTAGAGGAGTACTATCGCTTGCCTGCACAATACCTGGAACTTGCGTTTGTTTTATCGTCCTGGTCGCATATGGTGTCGCCGCCTGCTACCCGAACGCAAGAAAAACCCTTGATCGTGTTAGCTTCCGCCTACTTCTTTATACCCTCATATTTAAGTATGTGATGGCGGCTGGTTGTGCTCGTGAATCTAACGACTCTGGCTTTATAAATAGCGTTTTATTTGGTATAGCATATGCTCTCACGCCGTCCAGCCCAACCCGAGGATGCGATATTGGCGCTTTTGCTGTCAATGTGAGTTAAAGAGCTTGTGATTTTTATATATGTTGGCTAATTATAAGTGGCGGTATAGTTGACGCTTTGTTTCTCTACCTTCTTTACCACATGTATAGCAATAAACCTCCAGTAGGCAGCTATTTAAATGATTATATTAACCGCTCTCATCATTTTATTTCCGATTCAAGACTCGTACTGGTACATGGAGTGAATGGCAAAAAGATGGAAAGATATTATTTGGCTGGGACAACAATACTAAGCCTTTCTCTCAACATTCCAACTATGGCGTTACATCAATTTGGGTGCATTTAAATATACTCTTGGTGGTGGCGAAGATGTCTAATCAAATATTTACTTAGATGGAACGAAGAGTCTGCCACCTGTTGGTACTCAAATGCTGATCATAACCTTCGGCTGCGGTGGATCATTGGGACCCAATCATTTTGGATTTCTTTAGCCGCAACAATAGAGACAATATGCTCAGGTGTGGTCCTTTTTTGGATGTATCAATTTCATGCAGTAAGCTCTCTCAGAACTATTGTTATACATTTTGGTTTACATTTCTATCGATTATTTAGTCAAACAGTCGCCTCGTGAGAACTATGCTTCCCCCTTCTGAGCGTGATCGCTCGGAAATGAATCAGTGCCAGAATCTTGACAGAAATGCAACATCTGTTGTAAAATTTACGCAATCTAGGGCTATAATCCGAGATCCAAAATATCGTAAGGTCATCCTGCGAATTGGTTTGCACTTTCTTGTACCAAAATTGTGTCTCCATCTTATTTTTGCATTTTTAGTAATGTACCCGATAATATCTCTACTCATGAATTACTCCACTGTTGTATTAGATCTTAATACGACAATAAAAGGTCTGCATACACGGCTAGTGAGTGAATTTATTTATAAGCGGAGGGCGATGTTCAATCTATCCTTCTATTGGAGGACTTTAATTTATTGGTTCTGGGTACGCAGTGCACATTTTACGACGGAACGACGACTAAATAACTGTTCACAGATCTCATTCTTTACGGAATGCGAACATTGGCATATGGACTCCTTGCAGCTGCAGATCCGGTATGTTCAAAAACCATTTTATCAAAATCGAAATAGTAGCTAATAATTTTTGACTACAAGTCCTTCATTAGCGCAGTCCGCAAAATCCGCGGATTGGAGGACAAAAGATCAACAACGCGAGAGAGAATCTCGAGCATATACTTCAATTCTTGGCGCCCCGCTGAAGCAAGTGCAACTACTCGCAATGAAACTGACCGCCATGTAAATTTGGAGCTGCAGGAATCTCCACAGGCCAATAATAAGGAGCGCGACTTGGCATGCGACGAAGAGGTGAGAATGATAGAGCACAGGCACGATCCTCATGCCGGCCTCGGTTCAGAAGAAGACATACGTCGAGAATTAGAAAGGCAGTTATGATTCAACAGTATGTACAAGTGATTTTCTGTGAGACCTTGGCTGCATTTTTATCATATAACCCCATGATTGTCCGAGTGTCGATGCTGAATCACTTGCTCTCTTTATTTAAGTAGCTTCAGACCAGGTTACTCAAAGGAAGTGTTGTAAGTATTTTTTACGATATTCTCCTCTTTTATGCATCTCAACCGCATGTCACGTTTGTATATGCCACTTCCCAGACCACAAACTGTGTCTAAATAAAACGTATCCTTACAATTGACTCAAATATCCTTTTCTCTTATTTCTTTACGCCACGGTCAATAAGAATGATGAAAACGAGTCATTTATACTGGTGTACCGTTGGGAGATAACCCCAACGATATCCGACAACACATTCCCCATAGTTTCATGAGCCCCTGTTGTCTAATGGCTATGACGTCAGACTTCTAAGCCCAACTCAGTTAGAATTGAAGAGGCAACATGAATCTGGAGGTTGCGAGTTCGACCCTCGCCAGGGGTTTATTGTTTTACGAACGTAACTATATGTGCACCCGATGGTTCATCAAGTACTGAATGTTCTACAATTTTATTTGAAACTTTTATGAAATTTATGGATTTTCCAAGCAGGTTTGGGGTTTATACTATTCCGGAGATGCTAGGCAATATTTGTATTAGACCTTTTATCAGAAAATACTCGAAGAATAAAGCTAGAGCTTCAAACTCAGAAGGATATGAATATAGATCTCATGTAAAGTCGAGACTACATTAAAGAATGACCTAGCATGTGAGGCAATCCTTTGGCAATCTCCACTTATTTTGTGCTATAAACAAACATTTATTAACATCAGGTGACTTATAATATATATAAAACTTAAATAGTCGAGATAGAAGATGATAAATGGTGTTTTCTGGGCATAACATGAGCAGAGAAGGTTTATTGGTATGTGTTAATTACATGGCTAATTTTGGAAATTGATGCTGTCGATAACACGCCAAACAATGTTCAGCTTCCGCAGTCACGCTTCGGATATTTTACTGCATGCAATATCATCCGCTTAGACTATACCTAGTGTATCATATCAATGTATAGACTACTTCAGCCTGATGGGCTACACTTTTCGACTCGCAGGTAGTATCCTCTCCTCCGGAATATCACTGGGTGTCACGGGTTTCAGCAAGTGCAAATATTGTTGGAAATACAAACCGTCTCACGCATCGCCCGCCCTTAAAGCACCACTCAGAATTCCTAATATTGGACCCACGTATTATTTAGACGAAATAGCAACGCATTTATTACTTGGACTCTGTAACGTAGAAACAACTGATTAGTATGTTTAATTCTACTTTTGTACATACTCCTTTTATTATTTCTCGTAGTATAAAAGACCTCTAGATAGCGTAGAAACACCTCAGTCAAGTTCTATTCTGACTGAGGTGAGTTATAACATACTTACATATTTTATTTCACTCTTACTGATTATTCTCGTAGCTATACTTATTTTATTCCGTTAGGTATAGTTACTTCAATATATATATAGTCAAGTTCTATTCTGACTGAGCTATACTTATTTATTCCGTTAAATATGCATAACGCCACAATCGCTCACAGATAAACCATATAATATAACTCCTTCTGCGGGAATATTGGATGCAGCTTACCAAATAGACGACATCTCCGTGTGCTGACGAGCAGGTAATGCATCGTTTGGGGGATCTAGGAGGGAAACATTGGTAAGATTCATATATTATCGCTAGGCTGCTCTTCATCTCCTTAACGTTCACTAGTCACTTCCTGGCTTTCTTCCACCCCATTCTAACTGCCTTTTCGATGCTCTCTCTGTGTATCGAGTACGAAAGAGGTCCGAGTTTCTCTTCCCGCTATCTGTCTTTCCTCGGCCGAGTTCTAGCTGGACAACTATGAATGTCGGCATTACCGCCCATGAATGTGTGAATAAATAAGCTGAGGGAAGAGAAGAAGTAAGGAGACCTGCTGAATGTGAGAAAAGTGAGGAGACTTACGACGATCCGATAAGCCAAGAATGCTGATATTGCCTATCCAAAATGCCACAAGTATAGTATCCCAATTAATAACGGGTGCAAAGAGTAGAGAATACAGCAAGAATATGATAAGAGACGCACATAAGGCTCGTATGTAACCACGTCAGTACTTCGGCCATATTCGATGCGGGTACAGATGAGCGCGTAGATGAGGAAGAAGGAATGTACCGCAGCGGATTCGATTCTATGTGTACGGTCCTTAGCTTTCACATTCAAATTGACCTTATTATATTAGAAGATGTATATGAAGAGGAAATGGTAAAGAAACAGATGAAAAGGGGGTTTGAAACGAAGAGAAAAAATAAAAGCAGAATATATTGAACATGCAGGATCTTGGCGATTGCACTATATCCTTTCCTCAAATCGGTGTCCATAACTTTCCGTGTTGTGTGAGCAACATACATGATGCGGCCGACTGTAGACTTCTTACCAGCAGGAATACATCAGTAATGGCGGTTCTAATAGGCACGACACTCACCGGTCAACGTGGTAACAAGTGCATTAATTGCACATATAGTCTATAAGTAGATAGACGAGAGTGAAACGTCAACTGGATAATCGACAGAGATCTGCCAGATGGCCGCTATACAACCCCAGGCTTTTGAACAATCAATAGCGAGAAAGGGAGCAACAACGAGATAGTCAGGCGTACGCCAGCTGAATCTGTACGTTGTCATCATCTCCTCCTAGCTGTTCCGCCCAAACCCACACCGTGCCCGGGTTCTTCTGGAACTGATGCCCGACAAGGATAACATCCACGACTCCCTCCTGCAAAAATTTCTTTGCGAGGGGTCCTGCGGTTATCGGGCCAACAGTGCCCACCAGCAACACCCAGGGCGCTCGGCAGAGCGGGCCCTGGTTTCTTTGGGGGATGGGCAAGTAGACTGTGCCCCAATACCTCGCATAACGTCCTTCGCAAATGGAGATTGGTAGGCCGGGCCATTTCTAATCATCATTTGTGAAGGATGATTGCTGCCAGTGGAAGCGTTGAAGTCGACTTCATGTTAGTAAAGAAGGGACACAAGATGAACAGTATCCTCTGAGAACCAAGAAGGCTCATTAGCCTCAGACTCTTCGAGCCAATCCGCGTGAGATTCTAATGAGCAACCGTTAATACGTTATCAAAACCAATAGCAGACAGACGGACAGCACGAACCTCAGAAACAGGAGCATATACTTCGGGATGATAGATCTAATCTCATTCACAATCTCGAGGCGAATACGAGCTCTATTCTCCTAGCTTCCACTGTATGCGTCCGTGCGCTTGTTATTGATGGGACTCAAGAATTCATGTAACAAGTGCCCATTGGCGTTGTGAATCTTAGAGACATCGAAGCCAGCCTTCAAAACCCGTTTAACACGTTCTCCGAACTGCTTCACCAGCTTCCTCATGGCTTCCGTGTTCAGTACCTTGGGGTGAGGGTAGGAATCCTCATACGTGATCGCAGACGGAGCCCAGACGTCCTCAGGCCATCCACCTACCTCCTTCGACGCAATCAGCTGACTCTCAATCCAAGGCACGACGGTGGATGCCTTGCGAGCAGCATGAGCAAGCTGAATAGCGATCTTTTGAGACTACGAGTGCGCGAACTCGATGATCTTCGAGAGCGGTTCGATATGTGCGTCAGACCAAATGCCAGAGTCATCTAGAGCAATGCGCCTATTGGGGGTCACGGCGGTGACTTCGATGATGGTTAAACCGGGGCCTCTTGTCAATATTCCTCCAGCTACAGGACGTAATGAAAGTAATTCCCGCTATGCTTACTCGCCATGAGCGATTTATCAAGGGGTCAGCGTCCCGTCTTGCCCAGAATACTGACACAAAGGAGAAAGCTGCACGATGATGAGCGAGCGTTTACTTATACAGCGAAACAACATATCCAAATCCTGTTCTTGAACTGGACACTGCGAATCTTGATAGGTTGGAAGACCATAGGGATAGGTGAAGGTCAGTAGAGGTACCAGCGGGCGGAATCTGTGCTGGAGCGAAGTACAAAATGCCTTTGGCAGGAACGTTGAAATTGGATGGTGCCATTGGATGAGTACTGAGGCGATATGTTCGTAAATACACCTCTTTACACCTTTACGAACATTCACGAGCACGCCGTTGGAATCTCATCTAATCATATATGACGTCGGACGGTCGAAGCCCGCCAGATACAGTCAACACCAATTCGAAGCAGGATGAGCATAATAAAATCAACTCGCAAATCACCCGTTTGGCAGAATACTTCCGTAGTAGACACAATTCATCACTGATTCACAAATGCTAATAACGAGGATATAAAAGTGATTCTACGATAGTGACATCTGACGAGATGGGAGTAAGATTTGGGGTCATCCAAAAGGTAACAGACTCACCAAGATTTAATAAAGAATGAACTATAACACCATCTCCTGAAGGAGTTGAAGAAATGGAAAAAATTAACGGTTGTACACCAGTCCAAGAGTAGTCTGAATCGAGTTACGTGGAATCCCTTCTGAGATGAAGAGACAATACCACGAGCCACGAAGTGCACTCAAGGACGATGCGACCTCTATACTGACGAACCACCCGAAGGAAGAACGTATGGTATGAGCGCACGAATGCATGTCGCATGCCCGAATCTCCGCGACATGTCCCATAGCTCCTCTCTTTATACCCTCCCCTTCCTAAAGTCAGGATCTCTGGGCCTATAAGGAAAGAGAGGCGCTGAATTTCTGGTACGTCGCGTGGCTGCTTTACAACCAGACCTGGCAAAAGTCGATCGAGGGAGATTGGAAAACTCAGACCTTAGCCCGCTCACAAATGGAAACTCCATGATACTGATATAAAATCAAATCAAATGGTGGTTCTGTATGGGGTGAGCATCGTGGCTTTCGGACTGGTGCAGTTGGGAAAAAGAGATGAGCGAACGTCGACCGATCTTTTCTATTGATTGTTCGCTTTCCCACGATCTACCAATCAGACCGCTAATCGTGCACTTAGTCATGTGATTACTGTAAACAGACGCGTCGGGTAGTATGCCTCCCCAATATGGATGGACAGCGATCAATGATCCTTTTGAATGTTCTACGTTCACAAGAAGCTTGCTCACTGCACAGCCTGCGTTGTTTTCAATGATGGGTTTTCACTTCTTCTGCAATCCCACCATTCCCTTGAGCTTCTCGTTCCCATTTGCGCACCAGGAAGGTAAATTGGGAGCCTTCACGGCAATTCTGGTCAACAACTGTTCGCCAGCCTTGGATCTACGTTCAAAGCCTGGTATCGACTTCGGTGATCCATAACGACGTTGCCTTCAAGAAGTGTATGAACTCCTGGTGTTCTATCTATTGCATGTACCATGCTGAATCATGGGTGCGGGGAGTCTGATCATCAAGTAAGCATTGAGATCGGTATACCACAGGTATCCTACGACTAATGCAATGTTCATCTTCGCAGCCAACAATCAAACCATGGCAGTGTGGAGATCCACATCTCTA